AAATGCAAGTAGATAAATAGGGACCACCTCGGTGGGAAGGTAACAGCGTTCCGTGTCTAAGTCGCACTGGCCATGTGACCACGGAAGATTGTCTTTGGACAAACGCTGGCTCTATGGCTTGGAAACGGGGATGAGCACCGCCCCCTAGAGTCGAACACGACTGGACAAAAATTGTCAAGGGGAACCTTTACCTTTACCTTTACAGTCGTGATCAGATGGGCATTTGTTCTGTAGTCTGGTCCAGAGTTGGGAATGGGCTGGTTCAACTCCTTTTTCCAGCAACAACATGACGTATGTGCCATTGTGAACATGCCCGGCCTTGATCAATGGCTATTTGCATATTTTGGGGGCCTTGTCAGGGGTATTTTTTTTTTCCCTTGGTGCAGCTAAGGTCACTCTCTTTTGGATTGTTTCCAGCATGTGTGATCAATGGTATCAAACCAAATTGGCTGCTGGGCCATTCCTTTGCTGAAGCCTCTTAATCTCAAGAAGCAGGAAGCTACTTGGCTGCATGCCGGAAGGGAAGGAAGAGGAAGTTTTCCATTTTGTTTTAACTGTTACTAAGCATCCCTAATCCGCTGTATCAGTTAGCAACAATTAAAAAGAAATAGGATACTACCCTTCCACAGGTGAGAGGAAGAAAAGCTTTCCATTTCTTAAGATCATTAGGCAAAGCACAGAGGAGATAGGAGGTGTTTTTCCTTCCCTTTCAAAAGAAGATCAGTCTAGATGATGCTAAACGGGGTTGCTTGAGGGGTGGTATGGTCAGTCCTTGGATGTGGATGCATCTGTTTGCTTCTAGAAGCCAACAGATCACAGTGCAATTCTATGGCATCACTGCCTCATCGCTAAAGCAGTCCAATAAGATATCTTCTCACATCCTGAATTGATCTGACAGATTTCAACATGGTGGGGGTGAACGTTTGCCCCCCCCCCATTGTTTTGGACTTCAACTCCCGGATGTTCAAGTCAATTAAGTCTAATAAGACTGTAGGAGATGCAACTGAAAACATCTGATAGGCCAAAGATAATCTAGCAATACATCACAGCAAATCTTGTGTAGGAAGGTGGAAGAGAGGAATTCTTGGGATGGGGCCCTCAAGTTCTTTTCATATTAGATCCCTGTCTTATCTCTACAAACAAAGGAACCATGGATGCAAAATCTGAAAACATGACTTGATCCTTGCCCACGTGACACGCAAAGCCACCTTCACACTTTCCACTTTCTTTCAAGAAGTCTCCTCCGTACCCATGTGTTTGTCACTGACACCGTTGTGGACAGCAGAGGGTTCTGGGGAAGGTACAACACTCTAGGATGCAAATACCGTTTGCACACTGTTCACCAGGTGGTTGGGCCAACACATCAGCACAGTTCACGAATGTTTCCTTGGACCTTCCCATTTCAGAGGGAGATCAGCAAAAATGGACAAAAGTTCTCTCAGGGACACTCGCCTGCTATTGCTCAATATTCCATGGGGGAATCTTCCCTATGTATCAGTCAATACAGTGGTGCCTCGCTTAACGATTGCCTCGCTTAATGAGGAAATTGCTATACAATTAGGTTTTAACGCAAAATGATGGTTTAAATGGTTTTTTTTCGTTTAATGATGATTGGTTCCCTGCCTCAGGAACCGATTTTCGCTTTACGACGATCAGCAAACAGCTGATAGTCAGGTTTCAAAACGGCCACCAGCTGAAGAAAATGGCCCCCCGCTGTTTTTAGGAAGGCTTTTTCGCTTAACAGGCACCAGAAAATGGCCACCGTATGGAGGATTTTCGCTGGACGAGCAGGTATTCAGCCCATTGGAATGCACTGAATGGTTTTCAATGCGTGTCAATGGGTTTTTTATTTCGTTTGACGACGTTTTCACTCTACAGCGATTTCGCTGGAACGAATTAACGTCATTAAGCGAGGCACCACTGTATCATTTGAAAGAAGATGTTAAAAAATTTAGGGTTGGGGCACTTGAACCCACAGAATACTCAGCCAGCATGGGAACTGAAAGCTAAAACCCTGTATTTTCCAGGCTTCATTTTGAAACCTACTGATTATTGTTATGTGCTGTCAAGTTGCTTCCAACTTAATGATGAACCTAAGTGTGCGAGATGATCAAGTCATGATTGATCATTTTCACCATTACCATATCAATGAATTTCCGTGGTCAAAGCAAGGATTTGAACCCTGTCTCCTGAATCCTGGCCCAACACTCAGTTCAGTCCAGCTCTGGGATGATACAGGAGGCCAAAGGTAGGGTTTACCAGAAAGGGAACAAAAGGCAGATGGAATTCTTTGCCTTGAAAGATCGGACAGGTGGGCCATACCCAGAAGGAGCAATCAAGATGGTGAGGACTCCGGAGATTGCAACCAAATTGGTGCAGCCAAGATGGTGAGGACCCTGGGAATGGTTAGTACTTAGATACACAATCCAATCACGAGGATTCATCAAGGAATACCAAGGATCTAGAAGTACAGGCAAGAAAAGAATTCTGACTTAAACCACATACACTGTTACTATATTGAGCAGTGGTGCCCCGCATAGCGACGTTAATCCGTTCCGGATTAATCGTCGCTATCCGGAAACATCGCTAAATGGAACTAAAAACCCCATAGAAATGCATTAAACTTTGTTTAATGCGTTCCTATGGGGCCCAAACTCACCGTTCAGCGAAGATCCTCCACAGCGCCGCCATTTTCGTCGCCTCGGTAAGCAAGGGTAGCGCGCGAAAATGCTTGTGGTGGCCATTTTGGGCACCCGGCAGCCATTTTGGAACCGCCGATCAGCTGTTCTAAAAACATTGCAATGCGAAGATCGGTAAGCAAAACGCTTACCAATCATCGCAATGCGATGTTTGCCCATTCAGAACATCGCAATGCGATTGCATTAGCAATCCCAAGAAATAGATCGCTATGCGGATTCGTCGTCAAACATGCGCTTGTTATGCAAGGCACCACTGTACACTGTTAATATACTGACTTTGCAATATTGGGCTCTGGACCAATGGTCTCCACCAAGTATCAGGCACCTTCCTATGCTCCTTTTACACTATGCCAGACTAACTGTTCATCTGGTCTAGTATTGTCTACTCAGACTGGCGGCAGCTCTTCAAATCATTCCCTGCCAACCCAGTTTTAACAGAAGATACCAGGGACTGATTCTGGGACCTTCTATAGCAAAAGGTAACATGTCCACCACTGAACTGCAGCCCAACTACAAATCCAGAAGGCAGCAAACCTAACCATAGCTGAGCTCCTGAGACAAGGAGGCATATAAATCCAAACCAAGAAAACAAGCACAAAACATTCTGAGTCCACACTACAAACAAAATCAAAAATAAAACTCCAGGCATTACCTGTAATTTTGTAAGACATTTCTCTGTATTTTGTCAGATCCTCTCCATTAACCAGCACCAGTTCTGGGCATTTTTCTTTTGCCTCTTTCACAGACATTAGCTTCTTAACACCAACATTTCTAGCTTCATAGTTACTGGTGACTACTATATATTTCTGTTGAACACCTGGAAGAGATACATACGTATAAGGTCAGAGAAGAAAATAGATATCTATTCTGGGTTTCCTGTGTTCTAAAGTCTGTTTCAGTAAGTCACATAGTACTGTTTAATTTTTTTATTTAAAAAATCCAGAATTTACAGCACAGCACTATGTTTACTTGCTCAAAAGGATGCCCCCATGTTTCAACAACCTTGGTACCTAGCAGGTGTGCTTAGGACTCCAGCTCTGGATATTTCATAAATTCTAGCCACAGACGGCACATCCAAAGAAAACTTCAGTAAATTTTAGAGAATTAAAACAATTGTGCAAGCCAGCTTGTATAAGCCACTTTTCAGTAGCAACCACAACAAAACTTTAGAAAAGTAGCATCATTTTAGTTTAGGAAGCCACTGCATTTCATGTATTGTAGCAAAACCAGCAAGAAGTCTTTAAGGGAGGGGTCAGCAACCACCAGGGGTTTGAAGACCTGCACATGCACATCTCTCTACCTTGTTTTTCTTATAAAAACTGATTTTTCCCCTCTGTAACCCTCTTGCACCCTCTAGTGGTTGATGCATTTTTTAAAAAAAATTGGAAGTGGTGGGGTCTTAGAAGAATTGAAGCCCCTCATGACATGTCAAAATTATTTCCATGCCCCCTCGAGGACACAAGGGGGCTTTATCAGCCAAAATTTAAAAAGGGGGATTCCCCCCCCCCAAAAAAAGAAACATGTTGGTGTGGGTAGGGGTGCTGATGTTGATTATTCTTGCTCTAATGTGTCACAAGGCTCAGCTAATTTAAGGTAGGGGGGCATTGCTTCACTACTTGGCATATTTTTGATTTTTTTGGCCACTAGTTGGTGAGGGAGCTTTTTTCAATTTTAAAAAACTCCACCTTTTAATGTTAGACATAATTTTAGTTAGCAAAAACTCATTGCAGCGACATTTACAAAAAGAAGTAAAAATAATAAATATGCAAATTAGAACTCTTGAGACTGTGGCTTTTGTAGATACTGGCAAATCTGCAAAATGGCCTGAAACCTTGCTAAGATTGCATTAGTCCTGGTTAAGGCTAATACTGTATTGGCACTGAGTTTGACTACAGCTCTCCACATTTTAAAACAAAGACTCAGACTTTTCTGTTTTTCTCCTCTCCTCAGTTTTTTTTCCTAGCCCAAGGAAGAGTTCTAGAAAACATGAAACTGGACCACTGTCAACAGAAGAGATTCAAACCCAGCCCATCGATGTGTCTGAAGTAATTAATGGTAGTCCACAAAAATTCACACTGAAATAAATCTGTTAGTCTTTAAGATTCCATCATACCTTTACTTTTGTTTTTGTTATACCACATCTGAGTGTAACCCAGGGTATTAAGGAAGATACAGTGTTTGATGCAAAAGAGCAATTGGATCAAGGTGATTAAGAGCAATCTCTTCTGTGGAGCAGAAGTAAAAAAGATTGTATCTCTGTGCTCATCAAAAAGAACCACCAGAGCAGGTCCACAGACAGTGGTGGTTCTCTTTATGAAAGCCAGGAGGAGTTACCTTTGGGTTCTATAGAGTTAGAAGTAATTACTCTGCACAAGAGACAGAGAGTAGACCTACACCAACGCATTTGATGCATGCTTTGGAAAAGAAGGTAACTGCAATGGCTTAGTTCCAGGCTAGCTAAGGAACCATCTTTTCCCATCTGAGCCTTTTTGGCTTTTAAGATCTTCAGCGAAGGCCTTTCTCTCAGTCCCACTACTCTCTTGAGCAGGGACGGGCAATTAATTTCTATAGGGGGGGGGCCCAAAAAAACCTGAACTTAAAAATAAAAGGAAACAGTGATGTTATGATTGTTTTTATTTCAAACTTGTTAATCTTCACAAATACTTAGGAGGTTTTTGCGGTATGTTAAAGATACGCAACTGATCAACTTTAGACAAAAAGTTATAAATGGTGTTGATGTTCAAACCTGTCCGCGGGCCAGACAGGAGCGGCTTGCGGGCCGTATGTAGCCCTCGGGCTGCACTTTGCCCAGGTCTGCTCTTAGGTATGCCTGGTGAAGATATGAGAGAGGGCCTTCTAGGCAGCTGCTCCCAAATTGTGGAACACTCTTCCTTAGGAGGCTAGGTTGCCCCCCCCTCCCTTGTCCTTCCAGCAACAGTAAAAACCATCCTTTTAAGGCAGGGTTTGAAGAGTTCATTGGACAGTGGAGAGTTTTAATTCTGGTTACTGTATATTATTTTACATATATTTAAATCTGCTTTTAAGGTGTTTTTTTTAAAACATTTAACTAATTAATTTAATGCTAATATAAGTTTAATTGTTGTCCTGTAATCATTTATTGTGGTTTAACTGGTTTGTCTTTTTAAAAAATTTGTGAGCCACCTTGGACCTTCTAATTGGGAGAAAGAAGGCAAAGAAATGAAATAAATAAGGTAGGATTACCTAGCGGTTTGCCTCTTAATTCAGGATTGCAGACCATTTCCACCTGTGCATAAAAGCAGTCCAGGTCCAGATGAACAATGACTCGGTGCTGAGCACCTCCTGCGTTGCTTCGTTTACCATAACAAGCTGGAAAAAGAAAAAAATATCGCTCCTCAGAAGGCTTGCATTTCCTATTACCTTTGTTAATACTGAAGCACGGCTAGTCATTACCAGACATTTTTCCAGGTGCCACTATTGTACCGGCCGCCCTGTGGTTTTTAACAACAGCCTGCCGCGCTACAGATGTTTGATCAAGGAAGCCTGTCTCTGCACAGAAATAAATTGGGGAGACAAACCTGCTCTGGCTAAGTTTCTGCATGTCAAGCTGTCATTCTAAAGGCAGAGGAGCAAAAGAAAACCAGTGGCGGATGCAAGGGAAGTCCAGAAACACCCGTTCGAACACAAGCAAAGCCTGCACAGCCGACTGACTGCCAACAGATCCTTAACCAGGGGCCATGATTTTCACTGGTGTCCTGCTACCTCCTTGGGGTTTGAACTGGTCTTCTATTATATCTAAGAAAGGATTCCCAGAAGAATCAACATTTCTGCCTTAGCTGGCAAAATAATATTAAAAGAAAAAGATATTAAGGGTTTTCTCTTCATCAGCTTCACAGGAGAGCTAGTTTGGTGCCCGGCAAGGAGACTTGTAATCCAGAAACATCTGGGGATCCAAGACTGGGATCCACTGGCCTAGGCAATGTGTTCAAAGGGCAGATCCCTTCAGAAGGGACCCTCTTTTCTAATAAACCCAATGCAGAACACACTATTGAGTGTGTGTGTGTGGGGGGGAATTCCACTACCCCTATTCTGGCCTGTATGTTCCACAGTTCTCCTAGGAACCGCTTTCCGCTTCAGCCTTAATCCACCCCAGCCCTATCCTTCCCTCAGAGGCAAGTCTGGCCAAAACCCAACTGCAAGTCCCAATTCGCACAGGCCCGCAAAACAGGGTGCGCCGCCACCTAGGCTCATGGTTTCCAACTCTGGGTCGCCCGGGGGAGGGGGGGAATCTTGGACTGCAATTCCCAGAAGCCTTCACCACCAGCTGTGCTGGCCGAGGAATTCTGGGAGTTGTAGTTACAAGAACACCTGAGTTTAACCTGGGCACCCCTGAGGCCTGGGCAAACCCTGGCTGCTTGCCCTAAGGGCCTGGCGGAGTTGGAGCCCCGAAGTCCAGGCCTCCGGCTCTGCGCCC